GTTGTTGTTAACTACAATATATCTAAAATATAATAAAGCTGAAATAAAATATACATTTTAGATGAGAAATTTAAAAAACGTAAACAAAAATTAGAAATGTTGCCTTGGCAAATAACTAAAACTAAATGAAGATGAACTACTAAAAATAATATAAAATTAAATTTAAGATCATTGTTGTTATTGTTAATTAAAACTATTGTTGTTAATTGAAATAAAATAAAATCTTAGATGAAAATTGAAAATATTTATGAAAAATTACCATGGCAACTAACTGAAATTAAAGGAACACTCCACTATTTTTGAAAATAGGCTCATTTTCCAGCTCCCTGTGTAATATCATTGCGCCTGCTGCACGCATGGTACGGCAGCAAAGTTCCTTGATTATTACGCCGGAATGAGAGTATAGTTCCTAGCCATATCGGCCTAGAAAATCATAACTTTTCATTTTCCGTCAGTCTTAGTACACGATGCAACTACAGAAGAGTCAAGTTTTAAATAGGAAAAATATAGAAACTCTTATTTGCTAACAGTCTAATCAGATTCAATGATCTATGCTAAGCTACAGCTAAAAGTGCTACCGCCAGACCCGGAGATCGGCTGAATGGATTCGAAAACGGTAAAACGCAACTGTTTAACTCTAGGGGAGTCGGAAAATGAGCCTATTTTCAAAAATAGTGGAGTGTTCCTTTAAATAAGCTAAAGATGAAGTACTAAAATTAATATAAATTAAAATTAAGATCTGTGTTGTTATTGTTAATTAAAACTATTGTTGTTATTTTAAATAAAATAAAATAAAATATTAGATGAAAATTGAAAATATTTATGAAAAACTACATTGCAACTACCTGAAATTAAATGAGCTGAAGATGAAGTACTAAAATTACAAAAACTAAAAATATTTAAAGCCAAAAATGTCATTTAAAAAAAAAAAAAAAAATTGAAAATGACTGAACCCGAAAACAAGTATATATGTAAGAAAAATGGCCGTGATGCTGCTGCTGTCTGTGTAGTGAGTGCGGATGCTGTCTATGAAGGGCGTTCTCTCAGGATCTGTTGAAGGCCGCCAGCACGGCCCAGATCATCTCCTCGGCGGGGGTCTTGACCTTTGCGCTCTCCAGGTCGGGGTTGGCCTCCAGCAGGCTGCGTGAGCGCGAGCAGACTGTGTCGTAGCGCTCGTCGCTCAGCGAGGACAATGTGTTCTCCAGCACGTCTGCGGCGTGCGCTAGCAGGATCAGCGCTAGCATGCGGCGGCTCATGCGGCGCCAGTCGTTGGTCCAGCGCTCCAGCAGACTGTCCTGCAAACGCTGCACCAGACGCTCCTTCTCGCTGCTGTCTGTCAGCGGGTGCGTGGTCATGTCGAACAGCAGGAAGTTCTGCTTCTCCGTGCTCAGGACGCCCTTCCCCACCAGGCTCTTCGCCAGACGCTCGCGCACGTTACGCATCTGGAAGTGCAGCTTTAAGGGGTTCCACGTCTCGCCTGAAAACAACCGGCAAAACCCGTCAAATAATGACATTTCCAGGCCACAGCTCACACCACAATCAAAACACATGAAGTCACACTGCAAAAAAAGGCTGTTCCCTTTTAGTCGGTCACTACGAGTCATGTCGTGACCGACGAATTGGGATCTCGCTTCGAGAGACCAATCTACTTCGAGTGTAACTAAACGAGCCAATGCAAATTGGCATGCGATTATTGCATCCAGATGCCGCTGATCACAGCATGAGTATAAGTAGGCAGCAGATGCAGCGCATATTCAGGTTTTCGCTGAGGAGCCGTGGGATCTCGCTTCGAGAGACCAATCTACTTCGAGTGTAACTAAACGAGCCAATGGGCATTGGCATGCGATGATTGCATCCAGCTGCTGCTGATCACAGCGTGAGCATAAAAAGGCAGCAGGTGCAACGCATACCAGCTTTTCGCTTCGGAGCCGAGCGATCACATCGTTTTGCTCCTGACTACTCTACTGAGAGAAGACTGAACGCGTTCAGCGCGCTCTTTGAGAGCTCTTGGTGTTGGCAGTACGGCGCTTCAGCGGTGGTGGTTTCCTGTGTCGAGTTGGTTGCACACATCAGGCTGCACTACCCCGTTTGTGTTGCAGGCGGCCATCTCCCCTGTGCGCTTCAGCACGCTAAAAGAGCTTTTTCCCTAAAAGAGCATTCACAGGTGTGTCTTTTAAAAGACGACGTTGTCTCTTGCTATAGACAACGTGTCTATGAAAGGGGCGTGAAAGGGGCGGAGCTCCGTTGCCTCTGCCTCGATCTAGTTCTCGTCATGGCGGCAGTCAGACGGGGGCTACTTCAGGCAGTAGCACGGGCGGTCTGAGGGTAACAGTGATGGCCTCCAGGGAACCAATCCTCGGGGGACCATCGCTCCTCTTGCACTCCGCAACCAGTTGAGCTGCCAAAAGAACGTGTTGGGCCCTCTACAAGGAGCGTACCAGTAGTATCATTGGTGCTCCTCCCGACGACCGGATGTCGATCGCTGCATCGGAGGGTGAGCCGGAGCTTTCTGGAGAGGAAGATTCAGCTGTGCTGCTGCCCTCCGGGACTGTAGCAATGCCTAAATCTGATCTGGAAATAACGGCTATGCTTTCCCGGGCTGCCGTGAGGGTAGGGCTCGAGTGGAAACCGACCTGCTAACTCCTCCTACCTCACCACTCTCGACGGTGGTGCAGCTAGGGGGTATACGGGGGTCGATGCTTATGTGGCCTGTGGAGAAGCTGCCTCTGCCTTACACACTACGGCGTTACTGCAGGTTCTTCATGCTAAAGGACTGAGGGACCTGCACGAGGGTGGTCACGATCTGGAAGTTCTGAAAGAGTTCCGAACTGCAACTGACCTCGCGCTCCGAGCGACGAAGGTCACTGCGAGTTCTCTGGGTCGTGCAATGTCCACACTTGTGGTCCAGGAGCGTCACCTCTGGCTGTGTCTGGTCGACATGAGGGACGCCGACAAGTTCAGTTCCTCAAGGTCCCTGTGTCCCAGACCGGCCTCTTCGGCGACGCAGTCGAGAACATGGCCTAGCAGTTATCGGCTGCACAGGAGCAGACTGAGGTGATCCGATACGTCCTGCCCGGCGGGCAGCTGCTGCCTCCACCCGTCTGCCGGCCGCAGTGCTCCAGCCTGCTCATTGCCGAGGGAGGCCCCCTGCGCCCACCCACGCTCCTGCGCCGCATCCGCAGCAGCCTCAAGCAAGTGGCGCCGTGGAGCTGGGCGTAGGCAGGCCGCTCCGCCAGTCCAGGCCCCCGTCAAACCTGGCGGTAAGCGTTAGAGCAAGAGGCCCTGGGACGGGCGACCCAGAGAGAGAGGGAACTGCTCTTTGTGGGATGGTGAATGCACCTCTCCCTCCCCCGGAGGAAGGCCGGGTGGAGAATCTGGTTTCCAAAAATCTCGACAAGAGTGCAGTTTTCTCTGTCTCTGGGTCCCAAGAGGGCATGGAGAGTCGCGGACGAACCAACACCGGACCACACTCATCCTCCTCTCTCGCCAGCAGGCAGCAGCGGGCGGTTCGGGAGCATCATCAAAGGCCCTACTCACGCACCCTCTGCCAAACCGTGGAACCAGGTAAGCGTTGCACCGGGTCCCTGCATTTCACCTCGCTGTCCCACCGCGGGTACATCAGTGATCCTGCTGGTCCAGCTTGTTCAGTGTCTGGGTGCCTGGCTACCTAAACCGTCCCGCTGGCTCCTGTGGACCATCAGACTCGGCTATGCGATTCAGTTCACCCGGCGTCCCCCCAAGTTCAGCGACATCCGCTTCACATCAGTGAAGGCGGCTGATGCTCCTGTCTTGCGATCTCCGCAGTCCTACTGTCAGACCTGGTTCCCGGAACTAATGCTCCTCGTGACAGCCCCTCCCTGGCAGATTACTCTGAGGAAGGATCTACTGACTCAGAGATGGGGCACCCTGTGGACCTCTGGAAAATTCATGTCTGGTCCCTGGACGGGACACGGAGGTTCTAGGTGACCTACCCCAAGAGGTAGTTGACACCATCACTTCGGCGAGAGCACTGTCTATGAGACACGCTTACTCCTTGAAGTGGAACCTGTTCGTCGAGTGGTGTTCTTCTCGCCGAGAGGACCCCCGAAGAGAGCCCCGATCAGAGTCCTGCTGTCCTTTTTGCAGCAAGGGTTAGAGCAAAGGCTGTCTCCCTCCACCCTTAAAGTCTATGTTGCTGCGATCTCTGCTTACAACGACCCCGTGGAGGGAAGTAGGTAGGGAAGCATGACCTGGTCATCAGGTTTCTTAGGGGGGCGAGAAGGTTGAATCCTCCCCGGCCCCCCTCTATACCCTCTTGGGACCTGACTCTAGTGCTCAGAGCACTACACTAAAGTTTCTTTCAATGAAAACTCTGCTCCTTATTGTATTGGCCTCCATCAAGAGGATAGGGGACCTGCACGCATTTTCGGTCGACGAATCGAGCCTAGAGTTTGGGCCAGCTGACTCGCAGGTAATCCTGAGGCCCCCGGCCCGGCTATGTGCCCAAGGTTCCAACTACCTCTTCAGGGATCAGGTAGTGAACCTGCAAGCGCTGCCCCCGGAGGAGGCAGGCCCAGCCATAGCTTTGCTTTGTCCCGTCCGAGCCTTGAGATGGTACGTAGACCGGACACAAAGCTTCAGGCTGTTTGTGTGTGTGTGTGTGTTTTGTGTGTGTGTGTGTGTGTGACCTGTGAGAAGCTCGATCCAGCTGGCCACGTCCTCCGGTGGTTCAGTGTTCTTAATGTGCTTCAGCGCTTCATCCAGCAGCATGTCACCAGTGGGAGCTGAGGACTTCACCGACACCTGAAAACACAATGAAAACAAGCTGCATATGCTAATATATGACATAAATGAGGGTTATTATAGTTAACTGAGACTAAAACCATAACTTTCATTACTTTAAATAAAATAAACTAACTGAAATTAAACATTTAAACATTTTATTTTAAACTGAAGATGTACTAAAAACTGGAATAAAAATTAAAAGCTTTATAGACATTAAAAAACTAAAATGACAAATAATGATGATGATATTAAATAGCACTGATTGAGTTAGTCAATTTATTTAATTTAACACGATATCATCAACAGAGCCTATTTTCATGACAAACTAGATACAATTCAAACAGTAATAGTAATAAGAAAAATAAAGAAAGAAAATTATGTAAAATAACTTCATATTTTCCTTAAAGCAATATAAAATATAGCAATTATTTAAGCTCTTTCTGTTAGATATTTGATAGAAAATGCAGAATATATATATATATATATATATATATATATATATATATATATAATTTAAAGCAGGACTTTACA